GTGAGAGTGAGCAGGCACAGGGCACACTCACCACACGGTCCACCTCTTCGTTATTAGGTCCTGAAAGCCGAAGCCACTCGATGTCCAGTGGTCCTTGGTCCTCAGGGCTAAGGGTGAACATGCAGGGCAGGTGCGCAGTTTCCCCTTGGGCTTCCTGAACTGTCTGCTCTGGAGTAGTGATGCTCACACTCCCAGTGAAATCTGGAGAGAGACGTGTGCATGACACTGAGCATTTGCTGTCACTCACTGGCTGAAGCCAATCAGGAGACAGGAGAAGGAGATGTGGGTGAGACCTGGACCTAGAAAGATGCAGTTCCCTCCCCCGATGCCCAGGTTTTAGTTTGTGCCTTCATGAAAGTGGAATGACTGTGGACATTACATCATCCTATGTGATTCCCTTAGAGCACCACCCACTTCCCAAAGTTGTACTGACACAAGCTTCTGCTAGCTAGTGCTTGCTCTTCCCAGCAGATGTAGACAGGAGATGTAGGCAGAGCTTCTGGGGGGTCAGTTTTGTCTATAAATGTAAGGTCGAATTGATTCATGCTAGCCACAGTGCCACAGGCTCCTGGAGACTCTGTGGGCAGGGCATGCTTGGGTAAAATTTGATGCATTTTCTGCCAAATAGTCCTTAATTATCAATTTTATGAAATCTGATTCTATAATTTGTTGTTGATGTTTTTTGATACAGGTTTTTTTCTATGTAGCCTTGGCTCTCCTGGAACTTGCTCTGTATACCAGGCTGGCCTTGAACTCATAGAGTTTCACCTGCCTCTCCATCCTGAGTTCTGGAATTAAAAGTGTGTACCACCACAAGCATGCAGTGCCCTCATAAGCCAGAGAAGGTGTCAGATTCGTTGGGATTTAAGCGTTATAGAGAGTTGTGAGCGTTCATGTGGATGCTTGGAATCAAACCCAAGTCCTCTGAAAGAACTAGTGTTCTTAACCACTGAGGTATCTCTCTGGACCCGAGAGCTCATACCTTGATCCACAACCAGGAGGTAGAGAGCACACTGGAAATGTACAAATCTTTTGATACATCAAAGCCTGCCCACCGTGATGTACCTCCTCCAACAATGTCACGGACCTTCTAATCCTTCCCAAACAGTTCTATCAACTAGGGACCAAGGATTCAAACATGTAAACCTATTGGGGCCATTTTCCTTCAATCCAACACATACAGTAAAAATAGATGAAATGGAATTTTAAAAATGCAGATTTAGATCTGGGCCTGGTGGTGCACACTTTTAATCCAAAAACTCAGGAGGCAGAGGCAGGTGGATCTCTGGGAATCTGAGGTCAGCCTGGTCTACAGAGTGAGTTCCAGGCCTGCTGAGGCTGTTTCAACACCCTCCACTCTCACCTTTTCCCCAAAAGACAGCCTTTAGAAGCCACGGATTTCTTGTGCCTCCTGATGTGAAAAGACATGGCAATGCTTTCGTCTGATACAAGCTCTAAAATGCAGTCAGAATGGACAGCTACGGAGTGCACTTAACCACAGGTGCTTTTACTAGGTAAATATTTCCCCTTATTTCTAGTAGCTTAGTTTCATCTCTACATTCTGTACTAGGGCAATTGCCCCACCCATCCCCACTGCCTATAACTGTTTATTACCTCTGCCTGTATTACCCACATGGTACTTGGCATATACTGGCTTGGATTTTCTTTGCCATTATAATTGCTATGATGAAGCTCACGGGTAGAGTTTTATCACAGCTCTGATGGTCATGTCATTTCCCCAAACTACCTCATACCCTTCGGACTTTTAAAAATGCTTATCCTGCTGAAGAACTAAATCATTAGTCCCATTGGGACAGGAGGAATTGTAGGTTCCTCTGCACCGGTTGTAGCTACTTTCATATTGAAGAGAGCTGGTACCTCAGTGAACATTTGGTGACATAAAAATACTGAATGAGGTTTCCCTAAGTTCAACTCCTGGAAGGAGGATTCCGAAAAATCATTAATGTGCCAGAAGAGACCCCTGAGATTTCAGCAACTTTCTGATAAATTCCAGTTTATTGCCAGTATTTAACTTCTCTAGGCATAAGTGTTTTATGTTTCCAGAGAACATTGAGTTTCTAAGTATATTACAGTATGAAAGTGGGTCCAGATCTAGCCCCCAAATATGGGGATACTAATGTATAAATGAGGGCTGGGGAGGTGGCTCAATGGTAAAGGTGCCTCCCACCAATTTTGACAGCCATGTGGTAGAAGAGCGAACTCTTGCAAGATGTCCTCTGACTTACTCATGTGAGCTGTAGCACACATATGCATAATACACACATCCACACAAACACAAATAAGTATAATATAAATATTAAAAACACGTACGTGTATAGGAGAACAGATATTTTTTTAACTAACAAGGAAAATGTCCTGACTTCTGTATGTCACCACAATTTTTATTTTATAGACTCAAACAAAAATTTAATTATCTGCGTTTAACATTAAACATGTAAAAGTCCAAACCTTCCTATTTTATGCTCAATTCTTAGCCTACTTCGACAGTCATCATAAGAAAATACAACTTAGTTTGCAAAATATATCTTTCACCCCTTCTTATTTGCTACACAGAAATGCTGCTGTTTTGAAAGACTGCCTGCCAGGCTGGATGTGTAGCTCATCTGGGAGTAGCCTGTGTAGCACCCAGCTGGGTTCTGTGTCTCCCTCTGAGTAAAACTAGATGTGGTGGCTCACCCATAATCCCAGCACTCAGGAAACAGAGGCAGGAGGATCACAACTTTAAGGTCATCCTCAGCTAACACAGTAAGCTTGAGATAGGCCTGGGATACATAAGACCCTGTTTCAAAATCAAACCAATTAATTATTTAATTTAACTTAATACTGCCTCAAGAAGAGCACATGTTATGTGGAATTATCTGGAAGGATAGGTGCCAGGCTGTTTAGAGCAGCTGTTTTTGAGAGATGAGACTTTAAGAAGCATGACTTCCTATGTTCTTGTACGTACAGTGCTTAAGAAATTTTAAATGGGTTTCAGGATTGCTCTTGCAAAACAAACAAATACAAAAGGTTTAAACATCCAGTTGTGCTTTACTGGGTTGAGCCAAAGTGAATTCAAGTCTCAAGACGATATAGGAGATTTCCATATTGGGTTTCCTAGCAACAGTAAAGTGTCTGTCTTAGTCAGGTTTTTATTGCTGTGAAGGAACACCATGAGCACGGCAACCCTTATAAAGGAAAATATTTAACCGAGGTGGTGTCTTACAGTGTCAGAGGTTTAGTCCATTCTCATCATGGCGGAGAGCATAGCAGCTGGGATTACAGCATGCCGGGGGATGGACACAGTACATCTTGATCCAAAGGCAACAGGAAGTGAACTGAGACATTGGGTGGTATCTTGAGTATATAGGAGACCTCAAAGCCTGCCTCCACAGTGACATACTTCCTCCAACAAAACCACACCTACAAGCCCACACCTCCTAATAGGGCCAATTCCCTTGGGGGCTATTTTCTTTGAAACCACCACAGGGCCTCTTTTCTCAGAAGTACTGACATAGGCAATAGCAACATAGGACAAAAGACAGGTACTTGGTTCCCTGTGTAACAGCTGGGAGAACTTTAATACTATCCAATGTAATTCATGCAGCAAACTAGATTGATACATATTTTAAAGATTTATTTATTTTTAATTTATGTTTATGGATGTTTTGCCTGCATTATGTAGCATGAATAATAAAAATCTAGAGATAGATATTGGGATTCAAGCTGAAGATCAGAGAAGCAAAGCCACTGTCTCTCACCTCTACCTCAGACCCAAATGTGCATCCTGCCTCCAGGAATCCTCAAACTGAGACGGCACTGTGTCTCCACCAAATCTCAGACTCCACACTCCAGTGAGCTCCTGTTTCTTCCTCTTTATATTCCTCTCTTTGCTCAGCCATAACGCTCCTGTCTCCACCTTCCTAGTGCTGGGATTAAGGGTGTGTGACTCCGAAACACTGGAATTAAAGGTGTGAGCCACCACAACCTGGATCTGCTTCTGGATCAGTCTTGTGTAGATCAGGGTAGCCTTGAATTCACAGAGATCTGTCTGCCTCTCTCTCTCCCAAATCCTGGGATTAAAGCTGTGTGCCACCACTCCCTAGTGGCTTACCTTTGTACTCTGATCTTCAAGCAAACTTTACTTATTAAAATACAAACAAAATATCACTACAGCATTGTATCTATAAACCCTCGGCAAGAATTGCCACTGGGGTGAGAAGAAGGTGTTGGAGCACCTGAAACTGGAATTACAGATGATGGTTATGAAGGTACTGGGAATTGAACCGTGATCCTCTGGAAAAGCAGTCAGTGCTCTTAACTGCAGAGCCACCTCTCCAGCCTCACTTTAGAGTTATTTTAACTCACAAATGGCTCGTGGATTCAAATACAAACGAAACATCAATCTTCCTACCGTTCTATCCCAACTTGTACACAGAGTGTGCTGGAGTGTGTAGCACTTGATACTTGATGAAGTATCAAGCATTTGTGGGATGCAGTTTAGTGCTCAGCACTGAGATTATGTAGACAACAAACGGCCACTTCCGGGGCTAGCAGTGACTGAAATGACAATCCCTGTCTTCTGCTTCCTTTTATCTCCCTCTCCAAGTTACTTGAACCTAAAGAACTTTTTTCCTGCCCAGCCTGTCCTGCATTTGTCATCAAAGTGACAAGAGGTCGCCCAGCAGCAGATTTGGGCCCTCGATGCCACTTCCCACTGAGACCCCAGAAAGCATGTTTCTGCATTGGAGCTGTACTGAAGATGAGAAAGGGCGAGAGAAAAGGTTTGGCAGCCAGAATGTGACCGCATTTCTTTAATTAGGTTTTGAAAGTTTAAGCTGTTGGTTGATCTAAAGCCTTTGGTGACCTCCTTCCTTCTGTGAGCCTTAGATTATAGAAAAATAGAGCTCACGGAACTTTATATAAGAATTCCAATTTTTCTTTTCTTTTGGAGTGAGGAAAATCTTAGAGAAAAGTAGAAAAGAAGCACCAAATTAGTGAAGAACAAACAAACTTGCACTTAAAAGTTTAAGTTAGAAAGTCATCTCTTGGTACCATTTGGCAAAACCATGGTGATTCTCATTTCAGGAAGATGCTAGAAACTGGCGAGCAGAGAAAGACAGAGATCAGTCATGATGCATGGTCTACAGATAATTATAAGTGTGTACTTAATAATTATAAGTGTGTACTTAATGACTTCC